GCGGGGCGCGAATTGCGGTTCGAAATGGAAATGGGAAATGGGAAATGGAGATGGAAATGGGATCGTCGAGAGAGATAAACAGAGAGAGAAAGAGATAGAGAGAGGGTGGGATTGGTATCTCTACCTACCCCAAGGCTCTGCAACACAAATAGTGGCATTTAAAGTCAGCAGTGTCAAACATGTGGCTACCCACCCCACCTATATAATCATATATAATCCGCTTACTGAGTGTTAACTGTTAGTTATCAAAACAATAAAAATAAGAGAAATATGCTTAGAATGATAAAATGCTGAAGTCATTTTCCTGCCACTGCATTCTTGGGGGTAAAAACTGAGTTTTCATCTATTTTTCTAATTTTAATGAGCACATTAATATGCAAGGGGCCGTTAGATATGGGCGCAGACTTTGACTGCTTTTGTGCGCCTTTCGAAAGCAACAATTACAGTCTGTAAAACTGCCACAATTCAATCATCAATCAGCACACATTTGACTGTTTTCACACACACAACACACACAAACAACACACAATTGTTAATCAAATCAAAAAATAGAAGGAGTTTTAAAACTGCATTTCTAGTTTTGTTGGAAATGCAAGCAACCAAAAAACTCATGTCGATTCATATAAATATATATATATATAGATATATGTAAGTCTTTATCTGGTTGGGTGTGTGTGTGTGTGTTTGTTAAAAGAGTTAAATTTGAGTGATGTGCCCGCAAGCTGCCGGCAGACACTATGAAAATTAGTTGGAAAGTTTTTCAAGCTGTGTGCTGCAATTGTGCGGGTGTCGTTGGTATTCTTGCTGTTGTTGTGGTCGTTGTTATTATTGGTGGTTGCGCTGTGGTTCACTGTGTGCAGTCAAACTGATTGACAGTCAGAGAGGGAGAGCGAGAGAGAGGGAGAGAGTCAAAAACGTATGCAGTAGTCGTCTCCAATCCGCAGGATGAATGAATTATTCTACGAACGTGCTTCATAATAATAAATATCATTTTATATATAAAACACACACAAAAAAAGAAAGAAAAAGGAAAATCCGAGCTGTTTGACATTAAAAATAAATCATTTTACATTTCATTCAGCTTGCGGCATTTTAAATGGCCACTAATCGACTGCTATTAAATATAAATACATAAATACACACATAACATACACACACACACACACACTCACATAAATACATATGTATATTTAAAAAGTCCGAATCTACTTGAATAAAGACTTAAAACTGGCTCAACAGAAATGGCTTAAGCTTGTTTCACATTAAAAGCTTGCGGTTTTTGCCACAAATTGCCACACATTATGCTTTAATTTTAAATGGGTTTTGCCTAAATTTAATGTGCCAAATGTGGCAGAGGCAGACACAACAAACGTGGCCGACTAATACTGAATGAACTGTTCAAAATGAATATTGAAATATAGCAAGAAGAAACCCAAAGTGAGACTAAACACTTTGAAGTTGCACTGCGAGTTTACTTTCTTTGCCACAGAGGCAATTGTGTGACCAACTGTAGCCAACTGCAACCAAATGCATTTGGGACAACGACAAACAAAAAAGAAAAAAAAAACACTTTCTGTTTCCAAAACCACTTTAAAACCAAGAAAAAAGGAAAAACAAAAGAATATAGAAGGGAAAAAGACTTTGTGTGAGAAATAAAAAGATATTCGTATCGCATTTCATTGCAGATACAGCTCACATGTGTGTGTGTGTGTGTGTGTGTGTGCGTGTGTGAATGTTTTATCATTACCAGCAGACATCGACGCCTGCCACAAGGAAGTTACAGTCTTGCCCCACTTATGCCTGTGGCTGCCATTCTTTCTATGCCACTTGTAAGTGGCAATGCAGATGAGGCAGGCATCGTTTACATTAAACAAACACATTTCCAACAAAAGCTCAACAGGACAACGGCAATCGAGTGAGAAAGTGTGTGTGTGTGGTGTGTGTGTGGTGTGTGTGGTGTGTGTGTGGTGTGTGCGGGCGTTTGATAATGCCTGACATAGTTTCCTGTGCACAACAAGTCCTTTGGCAGGCTAAGTGCTGTAAATTGAGCGCATCACCAAAAATAGCAACATTTTGCATAGGGGAACTTTGCAGCAACAACAACTACCTACTCCACATGTGCACATGTGTTTATGCATATGTGTGTGTGTGAGTGTGTGTGCGTGTCTTAGATGCTTGCAACAGGCACACATCACATATCAAATGTCGTTCTGTGGCAGAGAAGCCGTTCAACATTGTGTGTGGCCGCTGCGCATGCGCAAAACCACAACCTCAAATAAACGAAGACAAATAATCTACACTGCAACAAAAAATATCGCACTAAGAATGTAAACAGTAAGAAGTAAGAATAGATATCGGTTGCATATCCTTGTGCAGCTGCTGTTGACATTTCAGTTTTAGTCCAAGCAATTTTAATTTCCAGAATTTCTGATAAACTATTTTTCTGATTTTTAATCGATTCGTTTTTCTGAGTGTATGCAGAAGGCTATAAGGTGTGTGGTAGAGCAGGAGAGGGTGGCTGATTAGACCTTGTCATGTGGAGTGTTGGCAACCGCAAGCAGAATTGTTGTGAAGCGTGACACATTGGCAATTTAACGGCTGTCTCGCTTAGCGCTTGTGTTAAGTATTGCTGTGTGTGTGTGTATGTGTGTGTGGGTAGGTGGGTGGATGTGTGTGTGTGTGTGTGTGTGTGGGAGTGTGTTTGTGCATATAAAACTGAAGTCATTGTCATATTCAAGTTGTCAGCTGAATTTCAGGACGCGTGCTGAGAGCTGCTCTTGTCGTGCAAAGCCAAAACCACAACTGCATTTCAATAACTAAATTGCAAATGGCAAACATCAACAGATCCAAATCCAAACAGAAGCTGCAACCACAATTGCAATGTCAATTGCCAATGCGACAACGAACAGGATTCATCAGCAGCAGCTGAATTGTTGGTTATAGGCCCCAGCTCAGCTGGCCAGCAACCAACTCCATTCGACTACCATACATTGTCTTCTAATAATATATATAAATATAACAACGCAGCTCGTTTTTATTTTATTTTCTATATTGAATGTCAGCATGCTGCCTTCGAGCTGAGCCAGGGTATGCAATATTCGAATTCTTATTTCTAGTTATATTTTTGGATTTGTTTTGCTATTCTGCAATATTGCCCAACATGGTCGTAAAAAATGCATGTAAAATTCCATGATACACATTTGTGTTGTTTTCAAATTTGAACTGCTGGCTGTGTACAGAAATTGATTGCTGAAAACATTTAAAATTGTTATTTATAGTGGAAACATAAGCAATCAGTTCACTTGACTCGAATGTTTGCAGCTAACATTTACATGCCTTTTGCATTAAAGATCATTATATATCTCGTATCTATGCAGCTCAATATAGCTTTGTAGCTTTGTATCTTATTGATTATTTTGTAGCTTACAAAGATTGTTGTAATCGAATCGAATATTGGTTCGCAAATGATGCTTGCAAAACAAAAACAGACTCAGTTCCTATTTGCCGACAATCATTGAGGCACATAAGCCCAAATGTTGCATGATGAGAAATAAATTCAACTTTCTGCTCATTTGCACTCCAATCGATATTATTCAATGGACAAATTTATCGCCTCATTTCCAGCTTAGCAATAAGTCCTGTACAACTACAATTTTAAATGCATATTTTGATGTTTTTCTGTTTGTTTTTGAGCCTAAAATAAAAGTAAAAAATATATACATTTGTATGAATAATATCCACAACTGAACAGGGCTTTGGGTTCCTTTGTAGTTGCTGCTGCAGTTCTTGCTTTTGTTTGTTGTGTAACGAAAAGTGAAAAATAGATTTGCATGTTTTGCATTGAACATGAATTTATAATCCGCAAAACCCAAAAGAGGTCAACCCAGCCAAAAAAACAAATGCTATTCGTAAAAGAGCAGACCTGAGAACCATTCTTCGCTTGGACTTTTGCTATTGTTGCCGCAGGCGTTATCACCTTAATTTATTGGTTTCTGGCCATAGTTTTGTGGATGAGAGCAACATGGAGAGCCAGACTGAGGGCGGGCTAGTATGGAAATTAAATAAAACTCGAAAATATATATCAATTTTTTGTGGGTTTGTCATTTGTTGTATTATTGCTGGCAATAATTGAATATGCAAGGGATTTTATTTATTGAAACTGCAATTTTATGCTTTCACAGACATATTGTGTGTTCAACACGAATCCTCCTTTGTCTATTCAAGCTCACATCCCCAACAACAACAGCAACAGCAACAAGACAAGTGCAAATAAAAATAGTTGAAGGGAGAACGTTTTCTAAATATGATTGCCACAGCAGTTGAGCAGACTAAAATAATAATACTTTGAATAATACTTAAATTCTCTGTTCATTTAAAGCAAAGGCATCAAATACAGCTTATGGGTATAAATGGCATAATGAAGTCTTGCAAAAGTATTTAACAGGCAGAAGAAAGTAGTTAAGACCCCATAAAGTAAATATGTATTTGATCAAGCTCGATTTAGCAATTAGTTTCAATCTATTTTGTATTGTTTTCGAATTATTTTGTACTTAATATGTATAGTTAATAAAAGCATATTAGCCTGGTAGGAGGGGCCAATAAAAAATTAAAAAAAAAACCAAGTCTTTATTTATTAATATTATTGGGATACTTGCTCTGCGACCTGCGAGAGTCTTTGTTGGATAGAATGCTGCATCTTCTTCTAGTTAAGGCGACACACTATGCTCTGCTAGGATGTGCCTTGGGGATCCTTCGCCGCTTTCACAAAACCTGCATAGTTGGCTAGTATGAATACCTTGATTGGTTAAGTTACTTCTTAGTTTACAAAGCCTATTCTTCGCCATGGTTATTACTTGGCTGAATCGGTTAAGATTATAGCCACACAAAAGACATCTGGCTTGTCGGAGACCTGGTGTCTTTGCCTAGCTCCGTTGTTGGCTCTGTCTTTCTTTATTTCTAAACTAAGCCTTATTAACAACGATTTACTTTCTGCTTTACAGATGCTGTGCCCCAAAACCAGCAACAGCAACAACAACAACAAGGACCATTGCCATCACAACAACAACAACAACAGCAGCAACAACAATCGCAGCAGCAACAGGCACCGCGTTTTACAACGCATCCATCGTCATCGGGCTCGATTGTTAGCGAAGGACGCACGAAGATTTTGCAGTGTCATGCACTGGGTAAGCTGAAGCCAACTATTTATGGTGATGGAGAGGGGGTGGGGGTATACAAGTTGTGTCAAGTGCAACTCATCGAACTGGGAGTCGTCTAAGTATGCCGCTCGCCTGACAGCGCAGCTTAAGCCTCTAAAAGGGAAATGGAAAATGGCCAAATGGGAAATGGGAAATGGGAAACATAAGGGACGCATTTTGGCAACTGGCAACTGGCAACTGTCAAGTGGCAAGTGGCAACCGCCATGTAAAATTAAACCATTAACGAAAATACCACATTTTTTTGTTGTCTCTAAATTTTGTTGGTTGGGTGATGTTTTTGGGTGGTTCGCTTCGCCTTTTGCTTTTAAAGGATAATCAAGCAGAAAAACAATAACTTTTATGAGGTTTCCAGTGTACTTTGGGAAGCCCACGTGAAAGAGAGCGCCATAATCCCTTGAGCCGTTTTGTTGTCAGGCCGTGCCCAGCACACACACACACACACACACACACACACACACACACACACACACACACACACACACACACACACACACACACACACACACACACACACACACACACACACACACACACACACACACACACACACACACACACACACACACACACACACACACACTCACACCCACACACACACACACCCACACGCGTAGAGTAAGCGAAAGACAGGTGTTTTATTGGATGTTGGGTTAAGTCTTCTGTGTCTGACATTCCCAAGTATCGGTTACAATATTGTGTTGTCCCAAAAAATATTATGAGTTGCCTGCTGGCAAAGTTGGACTTTGCTTCTCATGCCACTCCTCCTCTAATCTACCAGCCCCTCTTATAACCTGCCATTGAGCTCATCCTTGCCGTCAGCTTTTACTACTTGTTGTTTGTTATTTGTCTGTGTTCATGCCAGGTGGCCTTAAGGGTACTCAAGACAAAGCTCTATCTCTGTATCTGTGTGTGTCTGTATGTGTTGTATGTGTGTGCATGTGTAGTTGTGTGTGTGTGTGTGTTGAGCATGTGCAATATTAGCTTTATGTTTTTTGGCCGCAGGATTTTCACAATTAGCCATGAAATATTGAAAAATGACTGCATATTGGTTCATTTATGAGCCAACAGGACTTGTGTGAACTGTGTGTGTGTGTGTGTGTGTGTAGCGTTGACAAAATTCAATTTCATCCTGTCAGCCATAAAAAATAAGCTAAAAGCAGTTTTACAAGTTAAGAACAACTACCCAGAACAAGTTTATTTTGATTTCACAAAGATATTTTTCGTGACTGCAATGGATACTTTTACATGCCACATATTTAGTTTAAGGATCAAGAGAATATGTGTGTCTCTGAAATATATATTTTTCTTTTATTGTCAGCCTGTGCATAGACCACAAATATTTAACAAAATATAAATTCGTGTTGCATAAACAGAAGATACTTTTGTTCGTTACGGTAATTGTATTTGCACCCTCAAGCAGACATTTCGGTTGCGATTGCACGACTGCGGCATGCAACATCAAACCGATGTGATTTAGCCAGAGATCATTCAACATGTGCCGGGGATGGTTCAACAAGCGAACTGCGTGTCTATAAGCCAAATTGATTGGCATTCGATGACTTGGCTATTTGGGCACTTTCAGCTGCCTATCTGCATAGATACTCGACACGCACACACACGGACATCACATCACGCATCACGAAGCGTTTTGTTCTTTAATTTTCGATCCGTTCCCAAAGAAAATTAGACGCTTTTAAATCATTCTCGATTGCTTAAGAAAATGTAAAGTTCTTCTCAAATCAAGCGTAAAACACTTGTAGCAAGCATTTTGTATACTAAATATAAGTGCTTTATTTATTTAAATGCTGTCAGAATGGATTATATTATTATTATTATTGGGGAAGTTGCACCGCGACCTGTTGGATCTGTTGTGCCCAGGATGATATTATATCTAGCCAAGTATCCGAATATCTAACTCGAAGTAATAAAGTTCTTCATTTAAGAAATAATTGAATATTTTTGCAACACAATAAATTGTATCCCAAAAACAGTATTTGTATAGCAAAAAAATAAAAACATTTTTCAAATAGCAATAACGTGCCGCTTTTGGGTTCTTTGTCGGAAATTCGCATTTGTTTATTAAATGTGCATATGTAAAGGCCACAAAGGGCTGGCCTTCACTTGGCCCAATCTACAAAATGGACAAATGCAAAAATGTGACAACCAAAAGACACAAAATACAAACAGCAAAAACTGAAACAGAAACAGAAACAGAAATAGAAACAAAACCGAAAGCGAAACACAAAATATGCAAATCTTTTTAGTTGCTCGTTGTTTTTGCTTGCTGATGTCGCACATGCCGCGACAAGCGCTTTTAGTGGCATCGGTGGCAGCATTCAGCCACTCAGTCACTTTAACGCTTATAACTGTCAACACACACACACATTGATGCATACGGATGCAGATGCGGATACTGCATACAGATACATTGTTATCCATTTGCTGCTGCCCCTTTCCGTTTCCCTCATTTTCTGCTTGCGTTGTTATCTTTTGTGGTTGCTTTCTTTTTTTAGTGGTCAACAAATTGTGCGTTTTGTGGCATGCAAAATAGGCTGATAAAATATGCTGCAACAATTTTGATGGCTGCTGTTTTGGTCGACTATGCGTATACTTTATTTTGTTTCGATGTATCCTGAACCCAGCTGTTGAATATATATATATATTTTTTTTTTGTTTTTGCACACCCAAATGTAAGCTGGATTGCAATTGCTGTCATTTCTTAGGGTCGGCACACTTATATTCCAAAATTTGAAGTCTCTAACAATTGCTCATACAAACGGACATAGCTATATGTACTAATCTAATCCTGATCAAGAATATATATATATAATTATTATTCTGAAGTCTAATTTGAAATTCGAGTGTAATGAAGCATCTAATCAAATGTTGAATTTATAAGCAGACAATTCTATGTCGATAATAAAATGATAACAATGAGTTTGGTTGTTTGGGTGTCTGACTAACAATGATGCTGTCATACCTAATTTGAATGCCACAAAGAATAGATCCTCGCGAGAGTTATCCTTTCAATAGATGTGGTTTGATTGTTGATATTAATAGCAATAATGATAGTTGTCAACGACTGCTTAAACTATATTTGTCATAAAGCAAACTTTAATATAAAAGCAGTTTTAATGGCATAAAAGAAACTGAAAACAAAAAAAAAGCAGAAAACCAACTGGCGATCATTTATAGCGTTGTGGCGCCATCTGGCGTTTTTTGGCAATAAACTGCGGTTAGCAGATTCTGTACGCAGGTGAGCCAAAAAAAGAAGTGGGCAACTGGAACTATTACTCACGATTATGTGCGACAAGCTGCAAGCACAAGTGTAACTAATGCCACTGCCTCTGCCGCTGCTGCTGCCGCCGCCGTGCTGCAAGTGCTGTTGCATGTACTTGCAGTTAGTAGTGTTCATACTTCCATAAGCATAAAATTTGCCAAAATGTGTACCAACTTATTATTATTATTATTATATTGTTTATTTTTATTTTTTTTTGCCCGGGCCAAGGAAATGATGCTAGAAATCGCGAATGCGAATGCGAATGCGACGCACTGGAGCCGCGGCGTGCGTCTTAAATGTGGCGCATTCACTTGCAAGTTGCAACAAAGACACTTTTATGGCAACAAAGCCGTCCTCGAGTGCCACCGTTTATTGTATACAGTTGTGTTGTGGTGTGCGTGTAGTTACTACCTACAAAACAAGCAGCAAATGGGCGTGCCCGATGGGCGTTGCATGTTCACAACTGGTGGCAGCACACAAGCAAGCAAGCAGCACACAAAAACAGAAAACACCATCTGAAAAGGCAAAACGTGCGTGGCTTCGTCTTAACTTGGCTTGGTTTGTGGTCCGGGCTTTGCTGTCGCTTTTCTATTTCTCTTCTCAAGCGACAACAAAAACACAAAAAAAAGAAAATATATATAAATAAATAAAAAAAAATGCAAAACACACCAAGAAGCATTAGTAAGCCAAAAAAAAAAAAAAATAAAAAAATGTCTGCGGCATTGTTTTTATGTGCTTCTGCCGCTCATTGTTCCCATACAAATTACTTATTTTTTCTTCTTTTTTTTTTGTTGTTTTCATCGCAGCTTACAATGTGACTTCTTTGGCTGCTTCTTCTTTTACCTCTTCTTGTTCTTCTTCTTGCTATTGTTAGTTTTGTTGTTTGCGCTAAAGTTGCGTTTTATGTTTGGTTTTTTTCCGTGTAGTGTTGTCAAGCATCAGGACATCAAGAAAAGAAACTATTCGTAAATGATATGTGGGCGTCAATGGGAAGTGGGCGTTGACAGGTAGGAGCGCAATAAGTATTTATATCTATATTTATATTTATATAGAACAAAGCAAGCAGTGAACTGAAATATATTTTGTGCCGTTGCTAAGAATTGCCATAGCAAATTGTAAAACTGACCAATTAGAAAGCACTTCAAATTTCTTGAAAAGTAGCTTTCAGAAATGGTTTCTCCAACTCTAAGTTCACCTTTTGCTATATTTTTTATTCGGCTTGTTTATTAAATTCAATTTAACAGTGCGACTATATATGAGCTGTTACTCGTATTATTCGCATTATTTTCATGAATTTGTTGAGATTTTTTGGGCTGAAATAAAGTTTATTCACGCCGTAATTTTAAATGCAAACCTTTTTTATGTTTGCATATCCTGGAGTCCGGTCTGTAAAGGTATGCCATGTTATATAGTTGTATAGTTCTTTGTACTCTTACATCTGTATTTATTTTATATATTTACATTTTTTGATTACTCATTTATAGAAAGAGAAAGAGAGCTTGATGGAGAGAAAGAGAGCGAGACTGCGAGAGAATTTGAGCTCTTGGCTTATTTTTCATGCAGCAATTTTTTTGTTATTTCGCAATGGTTTTTTAATAGTTTTTCTGCAGTAATTTAGTAACCATCCAGCGGGCGCCCAGTACTCTGACTGACACAGTTGACACACAAATTGTTGGCCATATTGTTG